AAAAACATGGCTGCCTTTATACACGTCGGATTGAATATTTCGAGCCTTCTGATTGGTTAACCTTTCTATTGGTGAACTATAAAATGAGTCAGCTCATTTTGGCTGGCTCACTAGTACACCAGAGTACCCAAAATTTCCAACACGTGCTACCCTGAGTCAAGAGAGTGGGTGTTGGAAGACCCTATGTCTGTCAATAGGATTCTGCACCATGCCACTCAAGCAGAAGAACTCAGTCAGGGCTGCCTGACAATTTCTGCGGCAACATCACCCCTAACATCTGGCCGCCTAACTCCCCAGACTGCAACCCCCTGTATTATTATAGTATGTGAGGCCCGGTTGAGCGAGGGACTGAAGGCAAGGATTGTGGCAGAATTCACCAACTTAAACAAGGAGACCGTCCAGAAGAGAGGCAGGAGATTCTGAAGTTTGGAGGCCGTGGTTGAAGCCAATGGTTATTTTATAGAATAAATTTACTCTTCAGTATTTCAAGATATTTTTGTGAAATTTTGGTAAACATAACTGTTAGAATGCACCCTGTATATGAATAGACACTTTTGTAAGCATTTCACTCCAAGCAAGGCAGGGGTGTCACTAGCACGCTGGGGGGTTACAAAAAGTGAAAGTGAGACAAACGAATGGGTGTAGGGCGAATTGAGGAAAGGAGAAAAAGAACAGGGATCAACGCAACAGAAGATGGCGATTGACAGTACATTTAATTTTTTTTAAGTTTGAAGTTATCAGGGAATCAAGTGACAGGAAGTGAGTTCAAATGTCGTGACGTCCGAGCAATGAAAATGTTGGAGTAGAAGTGGCGGTTACATTTAACTATTTCAACAGTAAATGAATGGGACCTAGATGCAAATCTACTAGCACACTTAAATTCAAGTAGTCGGGGCCCGTCCTGGGTAAGACGATAAACTACGTCCGGTAGCAAGGCCTCTGATCAGGAGGTTTTGAGGAGCGTGAAACCACCTCTTAATTGCTGGTGTTCTCAGTTCCACCCTGACCCGGGGTGGTAGTACCTATTAGGGACCCAGCTATGGGTAAATAGTGAACACCCAAACTGGGGTCAACACTATGAAAGTGTAAAAATAGGGTTTAAGAGCAGAAATACTTTGTAAAAAAAAATTATTACCAGCAATACATTTTTGGAAAACAAATATTATTAGCAATTCATTTTTTGGTATAAAATGACAATTGGAAAAAAATCTTAGATTTTGCTGACGCGTTTCGTCTTCCGAGTTTTTCAAGGCAAAAAATGAAATCGAAATGTTTTTTGTTGTTGTAGTTACATTAAAATAAACTAATTCATTTTTTGAAAAAAAAAAATATTACCAGCGAAGAAAAATTCTTACCAGAAATAGATTTTTGAAGGAAAAAATATTAACAGAAATAGATTTTTGGAAAATATTACCAACAATAAAAATATTGTCGGCATTAAATAACCCATTGAGGTTGATATGACGTAAAACAAAACAAACAAATGTAGTTGGGCGTAGCAGGGAAAAAAAGCATGTCATAGCAATAGCTATGAAAATATTTGTAGAAAAGAGAGAGAGAGGAAAGGCACATTACGTCTGCGTGAAAATGTCGGACGTCAGGACGGATTAAAGAACAGATATTTCTTTGGCTTTTGTCGAGAAGCTCGAGATGAACAGCAGGGGCACGTGACCAGATATGGCAGCAGTATTCAATGCAAGGTCGAATGATAGATTTGTAGTTGTGTAAGGCGTCTGACGGGAAATACCTTTTGGCACGACACAGTCAAGCAACTTTCCTTGCACTAGATGCCGCTATTGATTCAATGTAGTTGTTCCACTTCAAGTCAGTTGAAAACGTGAGGCCAAGAAGGTACAGTGAGACGCTCTCACGGAGACGAACATCAGCCAGATAGATAGATAGATAGATAGATAGATAGATAGATAGATAGATAGATAGATAGATTGAGGAAGCAGATAGATAGATAGATAGATAGATAGATAGATAGATAGATAGATAGATAGATAGATAGATAGATAGATAGATAGATCGAGGAAGCAGATAGATAGATAGATAGACAGACAGACAGACAGACTGAGGAAGCAGATAGATAGATAGATAGATAGATAGATAGATAGATAGATAGATAGACCGAGGAAGCAGATAGATAGATAGACAGACAGACAGACAGACAGACTGAGGAAGCAGATAGATAGATAGATAGATAGATAGATAGATAGATAGATAGATAGATAGACCGAGGAAGCAGATAGATAGATAGACAGACAGACAGATAGACTGAGGAAGCAGATAGATAGATAGATAGATAGATAGATAGACAGACAGACAGACAGACAGACAGACAGAGGAAGCAGATAGATAGATAGATAGATAGATAGATAGATAGATAGATAGATAGATAGATAGATAGATTCTTTCCTTCGTAATACAGTTTACAGCTAATCGTGAAACTCACCAACACACCAGATGAAAAGTAATCAAACATTTGGTATATAAGTTAAGGCAGAATAACGGTTATTGACGACGAAACTGAAATCAGGCATTCGATTATTTATGTACGTTTCATACAAATGCCATTAGAACAACTCTCTCTCTCTCTCTCTCTCTCTCTCTCTCTCTTCATCTATCTGTCTATCTATCTATTTCTCTCCCACCCCTACAACTCAGTTTTGGATTGAATAATGCTTTAGACTGAGCATTGTAGGCTTGTTTGGCAACCAGTGTAGGAAAAGAATAACTTTAAATTTAGAACCGTAGAGAAAGCAACAAAAAACTACTCCACTGTATTCCCCCAGAATTCATAGCAATTATTCGATATTGAAAAAGGAAATATGGGAGCCTCCACACTAAACAGACAAAGTATTAATATAATATTAATATCAATATGGTATTAAACTAAATGTAAAAACAATTTGCGTAACAATGGAAGTTAACAATTTCAAGAATGAAAGAATAACGAAAGAAAAAAAATTAAAATCTAAAGATGGATGAAAAGAAAGAAAAAAGAATGAATGAAAAACAAAGAGAAAGAAAGAAAGAAGGAAAGAAAAATTTCATAATGTAAATAATGAAATATAATTCGCAAAGAAAAAATAAAGAAAGAAAATTTATAGACAAAAGATAAAATGAAGCAAAATATCGACAATCTAACGGAAGAAAGATAGACAAAAGAAAGAAACAAAGAAAGAAAGAAAAAGAAAGAGCGATAAAAAGAAAAAGAAAAAAAGAAAATGAAAAAAATAAAATGAAAAAATTAACAATCTAACGAAAGAAAAAAAGAAAGAAAAAACAAAAGAAAGGAGGAAAATGTAGAGAAAGAAAAAGAAAATAAAATATCAACAATCTAACGAAAGAAAGAAAGAAAGAAAGAAAGAAAGAAAGAAAGACCGAAAGAAAAATTAAAATAGAAAGAAAGATAAAATGAAACAAAAAAATCAACAGTCTAACATAATAAATAAAGAAAAAGAAAGAACGAAAGAAAAAAAAAAAAGAACGAAAGAAAAAAAAGAAAGAACGAAAGAAAGAAAGAAAGAAAGAAAGAAAGAAAGGAAAAATAAAAATGTAAAGAAAGATAAACTGAAAGAAAAAATCAGTAATCTAACTTAAAAACGAAGGGAAAAGAAAGAAAGAAAGATAAACTGAAAGAAAAAATCAGTAATCTAACTTAAAAAGGAAAGAAAAAGAAAGAAAGAAAGGTAAACTGAAACAAAAAATCAACAATCTAACGAAAGAAAGATATAATAACGAAAGTGCAATAAAATGAATAAACAAAAAAGAAGAGCCAATATAACGAAAAATAAGTGAAAGAAACACGCTTAAAATGCAAGAAAAAAGATAAAAAAAATGAAAGTAAAATGAAAGAAAGCAATATAAATGATTTTTTGATGAAAGGAAATGCCGTAAAGAAAATTTATATTTCAAAGAGAACGAATTCGTGAATGAATGAATTAAAAAAAATATATAAAATCTTTATGGTGAACAAACATGAAAACGAAACAGACGGAGATTGAAAGAGGACCAATATGTAAAAAAGAAAAGAAAAAGAAAATGCCAGAAAATGAAGACAGCAAGGAAAAGAAGAAAATGATAAAATCAATCTGTAAAGAATGAATTTTAATCTCACGCAATACAGTAACATGAAAAGGGAGAAAGTGGTAAAGAAAGAAATGAAAAAACTAAAATGAAATTAAAAAAAGCAAAAAAAAAGCAAGCAAACACTGTAATTACTGAGAACCAAGAAAAACCTTAACTCTGACAATGACTAAAAAAGAAGAAAAAGAAAGAAATACTGAGTAATGGCGGTCGAAGAAGAGGTCGAATGTCGTTTGCTTCTGTCCAATCTTTCTTGCGTGCTGATGACAAACTCAAAAAAGGCAAATGGAGAAATTGAAGACTTGCAACAACGACAAGCCAATTAATTTCAGTACCAAGCCGCCCAGACGATGGGGTCAATTCAATGAGTACGCATGCGCAAGTGTTCCTACCTCTCTCTACATCCGAGACTTTGCGTGCATGTGTGCGTGCGTTTAAAAGTCCTTGCGTTCAAAGGGGTAGGGTTTATGGCTCAATTAGCAAGCCCAGGAGATTTTTTTTTTCTTTCTATTTTTTGTAATTTTGGTTCGTTTGTTATTTGCTTTTGCTTTTTTGTTTTGTTTTGTTTTGTTCTCTTTTGTTTTGTTTTTACTTAATTTCAGACGAAGTAACGAAAGAACCGACGAACACCAATATCTTAAACAAAATCTTTGATTCTCATATGGTGAAAATAATCGAACCTGAAATATCTATACTCCCATGTAAACTGCTCCTGTTCTGCTCATCAGTATGTGAGCACAGACTTACTGATCACCATCACACACACACACACACACACACACACACACACGCGCACGCTCACACACACACACACATAGATAGATAGATAGATAATGAAAGTGATGAGATAGATAGATAGATAGATAGATAGATAGATAGATAATGAACCGAATTAAAATTTTGAACATCGTTCATATTGCAGACGTTTTCTAATTATTTTGATAATTGTATTGATTATATTAGCTGTTTCCTTATAAGAAAACATTCGGCATTTATTGAACCAGAAACCATCAGTACTGCCGCTTAATATATATATATATATATATATATATATATATATATATATATATTATGAAATGTATTAAGTCCGACAATTATTTAATATATTTTGTTTATACGTTATTTTTATAGATATATCTTTTAATTAAACAGCATTAATTAATTCTAGCCTATAAATGTAATTTATATTGTTTAATTAAAAAACGGAGAGTTTACTATAAAATAACGTATCTATCTATCTATCCATATATATATATATCCTTCTATTAAAGCAAAAATGAAAATATGTTTTTCAAGTCCACTTTAATTGCTGTTTCCAGCATTGATAGGTTCTCCCTTCCTGATATTTTGTTTGCTTGTTTGTTTTTTTTTTTTGGTCGATTTATTTTAGCGGCATATCAACACCTCTATGGGTTATTTAATGCCGAAATATAACTCATGTTTTCAACAAAATATTTTTGAGCGCAATTGAATACCTCCAGCTACTGATGAAATACATTGTTAGTCATTTTTCTATACATAAGTATTGTTGGTATTTTTTTTCTATAAATAGGTATTGTTGATAGTTCTTTCATATAAAAATATATTGCTGGTATTTTACGATAAATGTGTATTTTTATGCTTTCATTGTGTTTTTTTTTTGTTTGAATGTTCACTATTTGCCTATAGCTGGGACCCTAACTGGTGCTACTACCCCGGTGATTCTGAGAACAACAGCAGTTAAAAGATTGTTCCATTCTCCTCAAAATCTCCAATTTTCCAATCTGAGTACTTGCCGATGTAGCACTTATGTTGAATGTCAACATCTTGATTATGTCATTATTTTCTCTTCTAGTAACAGGCACTATTTTAGTTGTTACTGATGTTGAAAGTCTTGAAGTGATGTTGTTTCTTTTATTTGATACAGTTATCGTATTGGGGGTCTATTCGCCAGTCCACAAATTCCCAAGTCGGATAGAGCTAACTAAAATCTATTGGTTCCCTTCGGTCGAAACCATTTTTAAAAAATGATGGATAGTCTCCTCCTGTGACGTCAGTCAAAGACATTCGAAAAAGGATGCTTCTTTCCTAGATCTACATACTTTATTCCCTAACATCTAAGGCACCTCGACATGGTGTAATAGTCAGCTTGTCTCGTTAAAATAAGTACGCCTGAGAAGTGAGTTCGATCCTCACTGCGTTCTCCATACGTTCTGTCTTGTACCACATGTAAGCTACGCTTAGAAAATCGCTATTCCCTCACGGCCATTTTTAATCAAAGATTTCAGAAAGCGGTTGCATACAGATGACATCTTGGATATTCTTGACATTCATATAAAAGTCTTGAACTGACTCGTAAAACCATAACTCAAGTTCAATTTTTCGATTTCAATGTGTCGTGTACCTTCAAAACGTTGGCGATCATGGCTCTCCACAATATCCTGTCATTTGTAGCTCTTAGTAAATTTTGTCTTTTTGTTATCTCTCCTAAACCTTGTTATTCAAGCTTGCTAGGTAGGTTGTGCGTTTTTTTTCTCTGTCCCTCTTGCCGTCAATCTGTCCTGTGAGTATCAAATTTTCCATGCCCTCTTTCCTCATTATTTGCCCGAGAAATTTCACCTGTCTCTTCTTGAAGTTAAGTATGTTTCCTTTTTGCTTCATTTTTCTTTAAAACTTCGGCGTTACTGATATGTTCGGTCCATGATATTCTCATCATCTTCCTGTAGAACCACATTTCTGCGGCTTCAAGTCTCTTCTTCATCTGTGAAGATATTCTCCAACATTCACTGTTACATAACAGTTCCATACACTTTTCTTTGTTGCTACCGAAAATTTCCTGTTTCTTAATACTTTGTTTAGCTTTTGGAAAGCATTTTTCGCTATACCGGTTCGCCTTCTGACTTCGGCGTCGCAATTTCTATCCTCTGTTAAAACACTTCTTAAAATCTAGGAAGTCTTTTAATCTTGATTGATTTTGGCATCTCTATTTTGTAAATGGCATGTTGGTTTGTTCCTGTTTGCTGACAGCCATACATCCTGTCTTCTTGAAATTGATGCTTAGACCTTTCTTCTCGCTTTCCTTCACTACCTTCCATCAGTCAGTTATGTGCCATGCGTGATTCACGCTTAGCCGATCATGTATCTTTCGATACATGACTGACGAGGCAGAATTTATCCTGCAGTAGGTTGACATTTCTTTCTGCGGTAGACTAGATGCCATCCAAGGTCTGTCTTGCTATTTATCCATAGCTGGGGGAGAAGAAGAGGATTCATACCTTTTTCAAGGGTATTAACCCGTAAGTGAATGTAATGGATTCGAATGGAACGTCAGTCAGTCAGTTATGTGCCATGCGTAATACACGCTTAGGCAATCATGTATCTTTCGATATATGACTGACGAGGTTGCCATTTCTTTCTGCGATAGACCAGTTGCCATCCAAGGCTATAGAATCCGGTCTGTCCTGCCATTTACTGGTAGCTGGTGGCTGGGAGAAGAGGATTTATACCAGGGGTATTAGCACGTAAGTGACTGTAATGGATTCGACTGGAATTCGAACTCGGCTCTCCGATTTCTCAATCCGAAAAGATAATACCAAGCTAAGAAAACAAATTTAGAAAGATAAGGACCCTAAATATTGAGAAAATTCTGGTTTCGGACACCGATTCAGTAAAAGGAAATAAACGTAACTATCTCTGCCACTGGGTATACACTTCGTTTCGTCCTGCACAAGACCGTTATTCTGTAGAGATTTCACGTTGGGATTACTATTTATTCGTGTCTTTATATCAGAATACTCTAACTAAAAGTGTTAGTGGTATCACGCAGTCCAGTACTTCCTGCCACACGGTTACGTCATAGGTAAGTAAACCAGTTTCCTCACCTGGCTCTTTCTGGTTAAGAGGGTCGATAGACACACAGCAAGACCTGTCAAAAGCAGGTAAACCTTCTTGTGGGTGTCAAGAACGAGGTAGACTGGGTTCCAAAGACATGGATGCAGCCAGAAGGAATTAGGACGGAATTAGATTATCTTTAAAGCGATCACATTGTTATAGACGCACAAATGCGCATACACCCACAAGTGTAGGTAGGGTGAAATGACATGTAGTGAAAATACTATATTGAATCTATTACTCAGTCCGCTGCTATGAGAGTTAATTCACACTCTAGTGCTAGACATATTTAATCTCTTGAATTTAACTATATATATAAGTCGCCCATATTCTGAATATTACTGCCACATATCCGGTGCTCCTGTTATATAGTTAGGGATTCTTGATAAAATTCAAAGAAGAATCAAGTAATGTTCTCAGTTTACATGACGTAGAAAGATTATATCCCTAGGTCAGCTTCTAAGAAGGTTGGTTCGCTGTGCTGGGCGAGATAGTTTTTCTCTCCGGAATCTATCTTAGATTTTTTTTTTTTTTTTGCATTACGCCCAGAGCAAGGCGTGAAGCCACTAGGATGCAGGGGGTTGCAGAAGATTTGGAGCGAGATCAGATAGAAGTGATAGAAGAAAGGATGAGGAGAGGGATAGTGGATAGATCAAGGTAACTGGAGATGTCGATTGACATTACATTTGAATAGTTGGGGATTATAGCTCTCAGGGAAACAGTAATTGGGAAGGGTGTTCCACAGGCGAGAGGTGCGAGGTATGAAGCTATTGGAGTAGAAGAGACGGCTACATTTAAAAGTTTCTACAGTGTAAGGGTGGGAGCGGGATGCAAGCCTCGTAGGGCGCTTCAATTCATGGAGCCTGGGCACCAGTGAAAGCAGCTCATCGGAGCAATTACCATGAAAGTATTTGTAGAAAAGACAGAGAGAGGCGACGGCGCGTCTTTGAGAGAGCGACTGTAGACGTGATACCAGATCAGGGATCGAAAAGTCTACCATTTGTTCATTTTTAGAATATTGCTGCCTCATATGGCCCGGTGCCCATGCTGTTTACCTTGGACTAATTGATAAGATCCAAACAAGAATCAGCAATATTATTGGTCCTTATCTGGCATCTCAGCTTCAGACATGTTCCCATCGCCGTAATTTAGCTTCCCTGTGTCTTTTCTATAAATACTTTCATGGTAATTATTCGAATTAACACTTCGCTGTGGTACCCTTGACTTCATGAATCTAAGCGCTGTACTTGATTGAATCCCAAATTCTCAATGAAGCGCTTACTATGGAGTTGCATGTCTGAATGAATGTGACCTTTGCTATGATTGATCGTCTTTCGTTCGGATGCGGCGGGAAGAATGCCGCAACAGGTACACACACACACACACACACACGCAACACACGCACACGCGCGCCTGCGCACGCGCACAAAACATGACTATATGTGTTTCTTGGATTTTTCTCCTAAAAGAAATTAGTGAGAGGCGTTGTCGATAAGAAATAAAAAATATATATATATGTGTGTAAATTTATTGGTTTGGAGTTCTTGAAAAAAATGACTGACGGTTTTTTTTGTTTTGTTTTTTGTTTTTTGCCCTTAGGATGAAAACTGCATTTTACATTGCAAGCAATAATATTTAAGAGCCTTCAGGAATTTGATAGACGGCTTATAACGCACAACATATCTACTCGCTTAATTGGATAGATAGATAGATAGATAGATAGATAGATAGATAGATAGATAGATAAACGTAATTACATAGATAGATAGATAGATAGATAGATAGATAGATAGATAATGAACGTAATTAGATAGATAGATAGATAGATAGATAATAAAAGTAATTACATAGATAGATAGATAGATAGATAGATAATGAACGTAATTAGATAGATAGATCGATAGATAGATAGATAATGAACGTAATTAGATAGATAAATAGATAATTAATGTCATTACATAGATAGATAGATAGATAGATAGATAGATAGATAGATAGATAGATAATGGCCAGGGCTACTCACATCTGCGGAGCACTC